GTGGCTTAGCTCCTCCCCAGGCATGGTTTTTGGTGGTGTTTTTCTGTGCTCTGGGGCTAAGCCAAAAAAAATCTAAACTTTCTTCCTCATGAGAGCCTTTCAAACGCTTGGTAACAATTATCTCCCCCTGCTCTGACAGGTTTCCTTGTTCTTTATAGCTGACTCAAGATATATAGGAAGTGGGACAATCCAATAAAAGGGACAGATGTAGAATATTGACTTCAGGCCTTACTTGCGTTGTTAAACTATAAACTCCTTGAGGGCAGAGGTGATGTTTTATTTCAATGTTGTATCTCTCAGCATAGTGTTCTGTGTATTTTGTGTGCTTGATATATGTTTGTTTTATTTACAGTGTGCTCATATTCTATGGGTTTCCTGTTAAAGAACAAGTCTAGAAACCTCCATGGTGTAGAATGACTGTAGTTCTATATTTCCTATGAAACAGCTTTGCTCTAGATGGCTTGGTGATGGGTTGGGTCAATCAATAATCAAACATTTATTAAGCAACTTCTATAAGTCAGGCACTATGCTAAGCACAGGGATACAAATAGAGGAAAAGTTAGTCCCTGCCTCCAAGCAACTTACAATCTAATGGGGGAGACAACACGCAAACAAATATATATGAAGCAAGCTATGTGTAGGAAAAGTAGGACATAATAGAGGGAAGGCACTAGAATTAAGAATCCGAATTCAAAGGGGTTAGAAAAGACTTCCTATAAAAGATGGGATTTTAATTGAGACTTAAAGGAAGCCTGGGAAATCAGTAGGTGGAGTGGAGGAGGGAAAGAATTCCAGGCATGGAGGACAACCAGAAAAAAAATGCCTGGAGCTGTGAGATGGATTGTCTTGTTCATAGAACAGCCTGGAGGCCAGAGTCACTGGATCGAAGAATACAGGTTGGAGAGAAAGGAGTAAGAAAATGGGCAAGGTAGGAGTGTACCAGATTGTGAAGGGCTTTGAATGCCAAACAGAGCATTTTGTTTTTGTCTGATAGGGAGCCACTATAGTCTATTCAGTGCTTCAGCAGGGGACATCCTCATCCTAAAGAGTCTGAGTTCAGGAGTCTGAACTGGCTTGCCTGACATACTCCATTATTTTAAATAATGGAAGTGTCAGAATACCTGGCCTAACTGAAATCCGGTGTACAGAAAAAGGGAAATGATAATGCTACTTTACCCATTCCTGTTAGTGCATCATTTATAGTAGCATGTTCATTTCTAGAAACAATATTAAAGATCTGGGCCACGTATGGGACTGGGGAGTAGAGGTTTAAGAGTGTGGACGTTGTCATATGAAGAACAGTTGAACCAATTGGACATATTTAGCCTAAAGAAGAAACAAGTTAGTGGAGGCTTAATAGTCTTCAAATATATGCTGAATTATGATTGGGAAGACAGATCAGACTTGTTGAACCAGTCTTCCTGGTCATGCAGATTTCTTATTTCATTTACATTACTTCAAATTATAAAATCCCAGATGGGTCTTTTTTTTTTTTAATTATAGTTTAGGATTGCTATCTATTTCAGTGTGGCAGAACTAAAGGAAGCTGGATTAGCAGGCAAATGCTTAAAGGAAAAGTAGTTCATTAGAATTCTTAATGGATTTCAGATAGGTTATCCAATACTTTGACTTTCGAAGATAAAAAAAGATTGGCCAAAAAGAAATCTCATTTCTTGCTTATGATTTGATTTCGATTTGATTTTGACAACAAAACTAAACTTACTACTGAATCCTGCATGCATGCTAAGTAGTTGTTTTGCTTTTGAAAACCATGAATTTTATTAAATTTGTTATGCTACCAAAAGGGGGCAACTAGGTGGCACAGAGGATGGAGCACTGGACCAGGAGTCAGGAGATACCTGAGTTTGAATCTGGCCTCAGACACTTACCAACTGTGTGATTTTAGGCAAGTCACTTAACCCTGCTTGCCTCAGTTTCCTCATCTGTAAAATGAGCTGGAGAAGGAAATATCAAACCACTCCAGTATCTTTCCAAGAAAAGAGTTAAGTGACTTGCCCAAGGTCCCACAGCTATTTGGAAGGAGGAAAACATTCCTATCATTGCATTGGAGCTATGTTTTTGCATTATTTATTTTCTTTCTATATGACTCATGTGGGAAGATTGGAGTAAGATTATAGATTACATGAAATTATAGCTCTTGGAAGTGATTTGTGTTTTCTTCACTTAATTGGAGTGAGGTAGGAATTACCTAAGGACAGTGTCAGAGACATTAATTTGAACTCTTGCTTTGGACAACAAAAGGTTATAAACTAGATTTCTTCGTAAGCTAAATATTACATGTCAACAGGGTTTTTCTATCAGATAATATGCAAAGTTGGGAGATTCATTTCATATTATGATAATGAGGCTGAATAGCTACATAAATGAAAGCACATGGCAGTGTATAGTGTAATAATAGCCTTCATAAAAATGCTTGTTTTTTTCCCCTAAGAATCATGTCTATTGGTTTACAAAAAAAGAGCAAGACCCCTAATTGCAGTAGAATTCTAGACACTCTGTCAGAGTAACAGTTTTTTTTTCTTTGCCTTCTGAGTCATTCGACTGGGTAACATTGTCTAGCCAACATTATTATATCTCTTAGTTATGATGAAATCTTTAACGTCAAACTTATACTGCAAGTGGTAGGTGTAAAAATGTGTCTACTCAATGTCTGTGGTTACAGCTAATTCCCAAGATATAGGTAATTTTCAATAAGAGATTCATCTAGCTCTGAAATATAATCTGTATTTACAGGGTGGAAGTTTTCAGTGCCAGACTTTCCAATCAAAACAGTATGCTACTTTTGCTAGAGAAAATATGGTTTTATTCCTCCTGAAATTTATAATTTATGAAGAAAAATCAATTATTACTCATTAAATTCAACAAAGTTTTGAATTGCATTATTTTAGAGTAATGATCATATGAAAATATTACTCCAGAATATTTCTCTTGGGCTTGACCATGAATATATGAAGAAAACATAAATTTTCTTTTGAGTTTTTTTTTTTAATGTGCACTTCTCTGAAATGGTTCAATGGAAAAATACTGATTTCCACTGAAATTTTGAGTGGAAAATATAGTAATCATATTTTGGAGGGAACCTGTTTTTGTCATATTCTATTAGTATTATTTGCACGTCTGAGTAACTTTTATTTTCTTATTCCTTCAGTGTATATGAGAGACCAAATAGCAAAATCTGTTTTAAAGTGGATGTAGTATTATTGTTAAAATTTGTGTGTATATAGATAAAAGACAGTATACCTTAATGGATAGACTCTTGGACTTGGAACCAAGAAGATATTGGTCAGATGTTCCTGTCACACTTAACATAGGTGTATAAACTGGGGAATTCACTGTCTGTGTCTCAGACAACTCCCTAGGACTCACACTTCAAATCATTCATTGATATGCTCTTTGGATACACCTTGGTGAAGAGATGAAGATGGTGCTTCTGGAGAGTTCTCTATACTGACAAAATCACAGATCTCTTGTGGGTTAAGATATGTGTGTGTGTGTGTGTGTGTGTGTGTGTATTTATGTATGGAGTAATTAGGAATTCTTGAACCTGGGGTGAATTCAGATAAGGGAGAATACAGGTAGTATCATTGGGTTATTTCTCCTGGTGCTAATGGGCCAAGGGACATGGTTAAGTTACAGTTCTATAAGTGTATGTATGGATACATATGGTTTGGGGAATTAAATCGATCTGTGATTTTAGGTATGGAAACCCCTTCTACCAATCTAGATCTTAACCCATTAATGACTTAATCTTTAACTCCTAGGGTACAGGTGGCTTACAGATCATCACAAGCTATAGTCTTTCCATACAAAATGCATACATACATACATACATACATACACACATACATTTGTAACATTTGGATTTGGGCATCTATATATGGATCATTCCTCAATTCCTTTGGCCCCAAGCTGATATGGTCATTCTTGTCCTTAGTTTCATTCATTTACTTCACAAACTATTTCTTAAGCGCCTGTTGTATGCATGGCGCTTTGCTAAAAATGATCCATTTCCTCAAGACTCTTACTTTGTAAAGGATATAACTCATTCATAAGTGATTAAATCTAATATAATTTGAGGAGGGTGAGAACACCAACAAGTGGAAAAGTCACTAAAGGGTTCTTTTAATAGATAAAAAGGGAGTTGAGCCTGGAAAGAAGCTTGGGATTCTAAGAGGATGAGTGAAGAGGAAGGGCATTTTAGGCATCAAAGAGAGCCAATCAAAATCATGGAGGCAAGAAACATTACTGACTTCAGGGAACAGTAAATAGATGAGTTGGTGGGAAGAAGGAGGAATTAGAAGAATGGAAGAATGTCAATAGGTAGAGATGACAGGGAATGGCAGGAGGGGTTTTGTTTCTGGAATAGGAAAGTGTACAAAAAGACACAGAGGCAAGAGGAAGGGGCAACATAAGATTGGGGAATAAGGAGTATTATGTGACAGTTTCATAATAGAAATATAGTTAATTTATAGTATGACAATTACTTAAATATTTTCATAGCATGTCAGTGTTAACAGAGGGAATTTGCATTGGGCACACACCAGGCTCCAAGTGATGTACGTTTTATGTCTCATGCTTAGGCAGACAAGTTCCTGATGGCTTAGTTGCTGTCCGGTGTTGGTGACAGGTTCAGTTCTTAGAGTGACTGGTGTGTGGACTGCACTATAACTCAGAAGACTTTTCACTTGAAGTTCACTGATGTCACAATTTCCCCCCCTTAATCTTATCTCCTATTAAAAATTAAAGTACGTATTTTGCCAAAGTAGCAAAATTAAATTAAACTGTTATTTACAATTAACATTTTGTTCACAACACATTTTCCAGTTTAAGACTGATCTTTGCCCTAGTCTGATTCATAATCCATGGCCCTTTGATGACTCCAGTGTGATCTATAGTTGTTTGTAATAAACAGTGAAATGAATGCATGTAGTTTAGCAGCTCAGTACCCCTTCTGATGATGTTTTCTTTTATATTTGCAGATAAATTATTAGTCATAACTGTAGCAACCAAAGAAACCGATGGATATCATCGATTTATGCAAACAGCCAAGTACTTCAATTATACTGTGAAGGTAATGTATCTCCTTTAAATTTATGAGAAACGTTGGAAAACCATGCCTTGTGTAAATTTTTCTAAGATAAAAATAAGTGGGACCCAAAGAAAACAATCAAACATTAGTTGTTATTGGTTAATGTATAATCTTTAAAAAATCATCTTGAGGCACCTAGTAGAATCTTGTGCACACTAACAGCTTAATAATTATTCATTGATTTTAACATTTTGGTTTAAGATTAGAAATTAGGGCTTTGGCATTTGGAGGTTTTATTTGCAATCATTTCTCATACCTGCAGGGATTTCCAGTTCTTCTTTGTTCAACAGTGCCTTTCCTCGATGTTGCTGTGCTCATTTGGGGTTTCTTTGACATCAACCTGCCTCTCTCCTCTCTTTGTCAGCTTTCTTTTGTAATGTTGTCTTCTGCCATTGGACTGTAAGTTCCTTGAGGGCTGGAACTGTCTTTATTTGTATCCCCAGCACTTAGCATAGTGTCTGGCACATTTTTGTTAAGTAGTTTCAGTCGTGTCCAACTCTCCATGACCCTATTTATTTGAAGTTTTCTTGGCAGAGATACTGGAGTGGTTTGCCATTTCCCTCTCCAGCTCATTTGACAGTTGAGGAAACTGAGGCAAACAACGTTAAGTGACTTGCCCAGGATCACACAGCTAGTAAGTGTCTGAGGCTGGATTTGACCTCAAGTTCTCCTAACTGCAGGGCCAGTACTCTACTCTGTCACCCACCTGAGATGTTTATTGGCTATTGAATATGGTTTAGAATTAAGAACATAATTGTAAGGGGAATTATGCCTTTGATATTACTGTATTTTTAAGGTCTTGTTATAATTTTGTAGTGAATGGGTTTTAAAAAGTCACTTGTGGGGAGCCATGCCTTTAGATGTATGTATATGTATAAGACTCATGTGTATATGTGTGTGTGTATATGTGTGTGTGTGTATGTGTATATGTATATGTATATAGGACTGATAGGAACTGAACCTATAATTTTACTGGTATAGGGAACTCCTAGATTAGGGAAACTCCTTCCACAAATGCAGGTCATCGCTTTCTCTGCAGTTTAGAGTCTTAGAGAGAGCTGCTTCAGGCTCTTGGAATTTAAGTGATTTATCCAGGGTCATATGACCAGTATGTATTAAAGACACATGAGGCTGGTGACTTTGCGCAGCCAGCCCCACCTCACTTAAGTCCAATTCACTTGCTTGTCATGGCATCACCTCCCTTATCATGGTCCTCCTTGAGAACGAAGGACAGACAACAACAAAGACAGGACTTGAACCCAGGTCTTACTGCCTTTGAAGCAAGTTTTCTCTCCACTATGTGCCTTTGCCTCTCCACATGTCTGTATGCATATTTATTGGGTAGCTGAGGGGTGCAGGACAGCTAGGTGGCACAGTGAATAGAGTGCTGTGCTTGGAGTCAGGAAGACCTGAATTCAAATCCAGCCTCTGACACTTAATAGTTATGTGACCTTGGGCAAGTCACTTAACCCTCTTTGCCTCAGTTTCTTCATATGTAAAATGAGCTGAAGAAAGAAATGGCAAAGAAGATCCTAAGTGGGGTTATGAAGAGTTGGACACAGCTGAAATGCCTGAACAAAATATTTTTACACATACACAGATTATAGTTATGTACTTCCCACTTATAAAGTGATACATTCTCTCTAGACTAAAGCAAGTATTTGCAAAAGTTTAGGGCCCATACCTCATGGAAATGGACATTATTTTTACATTTTTTTGCCCCAAATTTCCTCAGTTCTCTTAAACTAACAATGTGGGTTCTCCAAAGCTGATGATTTAGACTCTCAGGATCCCCTTCCTTCCCATAGCTGTGGTTTCCCCTCCTAAGCTGGTTCATTTTAACAGTACAAACTTTTTAGCACAAAAATGTCACTCAATAACCCACCCACCTTGAACTTGCACTTTGCATCTTTTCTTTCTTTCTTTCTTTTTTTTTTTTAACAATTTGTCTGCTTTGTGTGTTTCCCAATGCTGAATTAGGTCGGAGTCATATTTTCCCTTGGGTTATACAGTATTTTAGCTAAACTGTGAACTAAGTAGACAGACATTTGTAAGCTAGTCTGCTAATCATTTTACAACTGGGTCTTTTGGGAGATGCTTTCAGCATTCCAAATAATCCAATACAACTAGTTGGATAATTGATGCTACTGATATGAGCTGGGGAAAGTGTGGTCTAGTAAAAAGCGCACCATTTTAGGATTCAGGAAACCTAGATTCTGCTTCTACTTATTCCATTAACTTAGAAGCATAGATTAGAGATGCAAGGGACCTTTAGAGATCTTCTTTATTTTTGTTGTTGTACAATTGTGTCCAACTCTTCATGACCCCATTTGGGGTTTTCTTGGCAAAGATACTGGATTGGTTGCCATTTCCTTCTCCAGCTGATTTTACAGATGAGGAAACTGAGGCAGGCAGGGTAAGGTGATTTCCCCAGGGTGACACAGCTAGTAAGTGTCTGAACCTGGATTTGAACTTGGGTCTTCCTGACTCCGGGTCTGGTGCTCTATCCACCACAATACCACAATCCCTGAAAAGTTGAGGGACTTGCTTCAGTTCCTATAGTTCCTAAATGACTGATCTGGGAATTGAGCTTGTTTTTCTGACTCCCAATTAGTCGCTTTTTTCCATTGTATTCTGTTGCTTCCCAGAATTAAATGGGGGTCACTACATGGGGAGAGTAGGTAAGTACAAAGGAATAAGTCAAAGAGAGGGGATTTGGGGGGCTCAAAGATTCCAGCAGACTTGGCAGTGGTGCTAATATTCACCCGGGGCTATATATTGAGGATTTATTCAGCAGCGTATACTATAAACATTATTGAAGTGAAGGTGAAGAAAAGCAACCCTGTAGGTTAACTGCAAGTTAGAGGATGGCCAGACATCCACCAAAGCTAGAGGCTGAGAGAACCTTTGTTCCTTTATTGCTCTAGTTATGGTGCATTTTGTTTATTTCCCCATCATTTCCTAGGATCTATTCACTGGTTCACTCACCAACTATTTATTAATCATCCATTGTATAAAACATGGCACTTGGGAAGATAAATTAACAAATAAAAGGCTTTCTGTCCCCATTTCCATTAAAAAATATTAGCCAGTTTAGGTTGAACTTGGGGGATTTTCTTTTTCCTTTTCCCCTTGATCAGTCCATTTGGGGGCTTATTCCTTCCCTTTGTGGCAGCTGTACTTTCTCTTCTAAAGCAGAAATCTAGTCAATTAATGAAGCTGGGGACAGACAGAGCCAGCAGGAAGTGTTGACTCCTCTTGGCCAAGCAATTCCCTCGAGACAATAAAATTTCGCTAAGCTTTTGAAGGTTGTAGAAGGCTGTGGTTAAGATTTATAAAGGGAGAAGGGTGGAATTTTGTTTGATAACCTCAATTATAACCTGAACAATCCATTTTAGGGCAGCAGGAAAATAGCTTAAGGCCTAAAAGTTGCTTTGCTTTTATCCAGATTCTTTACCTAATTGAAGAAAGTATGGTCAAAGTTTTTTTTTTTTATTTTTATATTTTCTTTTTTACACAATCTATACTAATGTCTATCTATGGTAGAAAATAACCTTTATTTCTTTTCACTTTTAAAAGTTCTATTTTTTCCTCCAAATGTTTTTGGGAATGTTCTTTAAAAATTAAATGTTATATTTTAAAATAAATCAATCAATATAGTCAACTAAATTTGGCTTGGTAAATATTAATTGAAATAGTCAGAAGATCCTAAGAATTTTTTCAGTCATTTCTTCTGTATTCTTAGCAAGATTCTTCATTTTTTCCATTCATCCTCATTCACTTTTCTTCTTAGATTGTCATAATATATCTGCTCCAGGCTTTTGGTTCTGTTTTCCCCACCCCATTTAGAAATCATGAATGCATTCCCAGACATTTCTATATCCTTTACTTTACCTTCATTATTCTTTTTTGTAATTATTACATACTTAATTACATTACAATATTTTATTAATGTACTAATATTTAAATGGAAATGTCTTTTTTATAGTAAGACTTCAAAGATTGATGTCAAGGAATAGAAATTTCTTTGTTTCTTTTTACTAAGATTATTGATTATACATAATGAGTTTCTTTTACAAATTTTTTTTTCTTTTTTTGATTGTAGTTCAGCAGTCATGTTGATTTTGTTCACAGGTCCTTGGTAAAGGAGAAGAATGGAGAGGTGGGGACAAGGCAAACAGTATTGGTGGAGGCCAGAAAGTGAGATTACTGAAAGAAGCCATGGGAAGTTATGCTGACCAAGAAGATTTGGTTGTGTTCTTTACTCAATGGTAGGAAAATCTCTGTTATTTTCACCCTTCTTACTTTGCAACGTACTCATAAGATGTGAGGAGATAGCAAGATGTTGCTAATTTATATTCTGGTAGTATTTGTTTTGAATTGTTATCTTAGCAGTTTAAAATAAAACGTTTACTCTGGCCCATCATGGAGGTAAAGTGTGACAGGAGCCTCCTGATGAGACATTGTATGAAGTGATGTTATTTCAAATGTCTTTTCTCGTTTTGCTTCAGAGATGTAGCTAAGATCTCTGGAGGCTTCTCTGCTATTGTTGAATACATGTGGTATTAGTCTTAACTGATAATCTATACCATTCACACCTGAAAACAACCAGATCTTATTAAAAGAAAATTGAAAATACAAGCTGGAGCACAGGGAAGTATATCTATGTACTTATGGAAGGAGAGAAATGGTACTCTGCAGGTTACCATCACCTGGTCTCACTCTGTGACCCTCTCTTATCTTTCCTATGGTCTGTAAGGCAAAAATGCAGTTATGCACTAGCTAATCGCGCCGTCTGGGGGCCAGTGCAAGAACTATTCCCTACCTCCTCCTTTTTTCTTGGGATTCTGCAAACCTGCTTTTCCTCTATTCATTGCTCAGAGCTTAAATAATTCTGTCCCAGGCAGCCTGAATGACATGTATTATATGTACATGTGAGTATGTATGAGAAGAGTATTAAAGAGTATACATGAATATATGTGTGTATATATATATGTATATATGTATATATATATATAGAGAGAGAGAGAGAGAGAGAGAGAGAAAGAGAGAGAGGAGAGAGAGACAGACATCAGAGACAGTAAGTGATTGAAGAGGATATATGAATATATGTATAAATGCATATATGTATATATGCATACATACATATGTAAATATGCATATATAGATGAGTATATATATGCATATATATATATATATATACCTATGTGATATGTGCATATACCATGTATGCCTTAGGAGTGTATAGAAAACTATGCATATATGAGTATATATGCATTTCTCTCTTCTTTCTTCCTCTTATTCAGTTGTTAACCTATTATTTCAGAAACTGCATCCTTTCTCCCTCCACTGCTCCTGGCACTTATGAACCTCCACCAGGGGTGGGGAACCTGTGGCCTTGAGGCGACATTGTGACCTTCTAGGTCTTTGGGTGTGGTCTTTTGATGGAGTCCAAATTTCACAGAACAAATCCTTTTAAGGAGATTTGTTCTGTGAAGTTTGGATTCAGTCAAAAGGCCTGGCTTGAGGACCTAGAGGGCCCCATGTGGCTGTAGGTTCCCCACCTAACCCCAGCTGCTTTCCACAATAAAAGTGCTCAGAATATGATTTAGAGAAAAAGAATATCTTGCATTTTGAAGTGAAATTGGACATAATAAAGAACTGGTGTCATCAATCTTTTAAGACACTAAAAGTCACCGAAAGTCCCTTTCAGAGTTTCTACACGTTTATGCTTCCTTTCCCTGTCTTGAACTGAGTAAATCAATCTTTTTAAATAATTTTTAATAAAAATTCAAGCTACATGAATAGGTATTTCTCATTTAATCAATTTTTAAAACACTGAGTCACTGGTACATCAAACACTGTGTTATTTTATGCATATTTTTTCATTGTCACTCTATGGCATTTCAGCAGGACTGTGAGTGAGCCTGGGAAACACTTTATAACATTCTTTGTGAGGAGAGATTCTTTCTGAGCTCCAGATAACCAATTCACAAAAGAAGTTGTGTGGTCCAACTTTTTTATAATGGAGTCTTTGAATATGTGTGCCCTATATATGCTGTATATGAAGCAGATGTGTGAATACATTTATATGTAGATATACATCGAGAGCTAGCAAAGTCTCTAGAGTAGATGATGGTTTGACCTTGGAGATAAGACAAGCAGTATTCAGGTACAGCCCCTGGTATATATTATCTTTGTGGCCTTGAGCATATGGTTTAATTTCTTAGTGCTATAGGCAGCTCTCTTAAGATAGGAAGTTGACAGAAAAGTTACTGATCTGAATTGTAGGAGGGAGTTTCCATATTAGAAATATTGAAATCAGAGACTCAGTACTGTATATTTACTTAGCCTCCAGCTCTCCGTGATCTAGCTAGAATGGCCTTCTCTCTGTTCCTCACACTTGACGCTCCATCGCCTGTCTTTGAGACTTTTCATTAGCTGTCTGCTATGCATGGAATGTCCTCCCTCCTCATCTCTGCCTTGTACGGTAATTCTCTTCTTTCAAGCTGCAGCATAAGCACCATCTTTTACAGGGAGCCTTTCTTGATTCACCCCCTACCATTGACATTTTTCTTCCCAAACTATCTTGTGTTTATTCTGTGTGTGTGTGTGTGTGTGTGTGTGTATAGGCAACTTGATAGTGCAGTGGAAAGAGTGTTGGACTTGGAATCTGGAAGACCTGAGTTTAAATCTGCCTTGGTCACTTACTAGTTCTATGATCCTGGACAAGCCTTTTAACCTCTCTTTTTCCTCAGTTTACTCATGTGTAAAATGAGAATCATACTAGTGCCTACCTCATAGGGTTATTGTAAAGATCAAATGAGATAACATGTACAACACTTTGAAAAACCTGTAAAACACTATATAAATGCTACTTGTTATTAGAGAGTTTGTGTGTATACAAATTCACATGCACACATACATACACACACACATGCACATGCACACCCCCTCACACACAACTGCCTGTTAGATTGCAAACTCCCAATCAGATTAGGGATTGTTTCATTATTTGTATTTCTATCCCTAGCACCTAGAACGGCACCTGGCACATAGTAGTTGCATACTAAGTCTTACCAATTGATTGATGATTGATTGGTTGATCCAGATCCCTCAGAATGTATATCATCCATATGCTGTTGTATACAGCTTAATTATAAAATATATCTCGCCTGAAATGATTTTTAAAGAAAAAAGAGGGGGCCATTATTCTACCATAGCACGAACCTTGTAAGTTTGGCGACAGCTAGTTTGTGTTTTAAGAGTGTCCTCACACTTTGTCAAATACTTGTTGTAGTCTACGCTGAATGTATCTTACCAGATCACTATAGAAATGCCAATGTTTCCTCTTGAAACCACTCCTTTGTATTATATGAGCACATAAAGTAAATCATATTATCAAGACTGAACTGAAATATTAGTTAACATGAGCAATTTAAGTGTATTTCTCCATTTCTCCATTGGAAATGTTTCAGTCCAATCCTGGGAGGCCAGGAATACTGGATATTAGAAGGTTCTGGATTATATTCATATACATACTTCAGTATGTCCAAAGTTCTATGATTTCCTCAGGGTCCAGATCTATATAGCAACATGAAGCCTCTAAGTTTGGTGAACTGAGGTTTGGATTTTAAGTTGTCCTCAGGCTTGGTCAAATGCTTGTTCTCTTCTAGGTTGCATGTGTATTGCAGTTTAGCAATGTACAACAGCATGTGTGAGGTGCATTTTATTTTGTTCTGGCTCTGATTTTATCCATCTAGGGGACATCTGATGCCAAAATCTTCTCCCTCACTTCAAAGCAGCTCTAACTTAAGAATTTTAGATTACTACTCAGGGTATTGGAAGGTTATGTGATTGTCCCAGAATCATACAGATAGGAGAATAGTTAACGTAAATATTTTCTGACTTAGGGGAATTTTGAAATCACATGATGTAGGCAGCACCAGAGAGCTCATAGTATGAAAGATCTGCTCAAGAAGTGTGTGTTGGTGACCATACACTGGTAATTGGTATTTGTTCATAGAAGGCATAGATTCAGTGAGACACAGAATCGAGGTATATGAGACTTTCATGTTACAAAGTATTACATGAAATTATGATGCAACAGCTCTCCTTATTGATAACCTGGTTTGATTGAGTTTGAAGACTGTATGTATGATTCTACCCATACCAGCTCAGCATTCTTTCTGAGACTGGTATATACATATAGTAGGCATTTTTTTCCAAAATGATGATATGCATAAGAGAGGGAATAAATTATATCTTTAATTCATCCTGTTAGCAAAATGACTATTTCACCATGCCTATGTATACTTGATGTACTAAGGAGATTTTTCTGAGGAGTGTATATTCTACAATTAGACACAAAAATGTGGGATTTTCCTGAACTAAAGCTATCTAGCAATTAAAACAGTGTTATTACATTGCTATTGTTATTAGTGTATGTTTTATTATATACCTTTTGTTCAGCCAAAGACAAAGACATTAGTAAGCTATTGGCTAGATTTTAAGAATCTAATCCTGTATACCGTTATTTTTGAGCTTTACAAAGAAACTTTCCAAAAAGTTAGAAACATAGAATATATATTAGAATTTAAATTTAGTTAGAATATAGGCAGTCAATTTAAATAGAGTCCTGAAAAATAATCCTTTTTATTCAAATACTGGTGTGTTCCATTTAAAGAAACTAAGATAAATAATTGGAATTTTGTAATTGAAAAATGGGAAGTGATTTAAAAAAATGTTTTATTTACAAAATCATCTTTGATAGATTCCTTTGTGTAGTGACTATTACCACTTATAATTTTTGCCTTTCTTTGTACATCCAGTGCTTAGCACTGTGCCTGGCACATAGTAAGTCCTTAGAAATATTTGTTGAGTGACACATGACCTTAGATACACACATATATGTACGTGTTATGTAAGTGCATGTACTATACACAGACACAAATGAGACAACCAGGAATAGTGAGAAAAACTCTGGATGAGGAATCAGGAGACTTGGGTTCAAATCCTAGCTTTGTCACTAATTAATCAACTGTTCAAGCTTGGGGAAGTTACTTAGCCTCTCTGGGTCTCGGATTCTTTATCTGTAAAATAAACATTTAGACCAGACTGATGTCTAGGAAGGACCCTACCAGCTCTTAAGAATCTGAATCTGTGTAAGTATTTGTGACAGATCATTAGGTACTTGACAGTGATGCCTAGGGCAAAGAAATTTTAAATTGAAAATTGGAAACTATTGTGAATTAAAAAACTATAAGAAATG